CTTTACCTGCTACTTTTGCAGCATCTATTGCAGTTTTTCCTAAATCACTAGCAATGGCTTTATTAGCTAAATTACGTGATATTTTAAGTGCATTATTAATCGATCTATTATTAAGTAAGCCTCTAAAAGGACTAAATATGCCACTCCCATCGATAAAATGCTTTTTATAAACTTTTTTCTCAACAATTAACATTTTTTATATACTTACTATTTTTTTAATTCATTAGCATCCCTTATTTATCTCTTAAACGGTTAGTTAACATTGTCTTCATACCAGATAATGCTCTAAAAAAATCAGAAGATTTTGCTCGATTATATAGATTATTAACATCATCAAATATACCACTTCCACTTACAAAATGCTTTTTATAAACTTTTTTCTCAACAATTAACATTTTTATTTACTTACTATTTTTATTTAATCTAAAAATGTTTTGTAATGATTTATAATATTCAGAATCAATTTCTCCTTGACGTAATAATTCATCACAAATAGCAACAGCTTCATTTCTAGCCCCAGTATTACCTGCTTCAAATGCAGCCATTCGTAATGCAAGCATTTTAACTAATTCATTTGGATCACTAGGAAGAATGATAACTCCTTTTCCAGATTTTATAGCGATCTCTCCCCAAATGGGTTTTATTATTTTATTATATTTTTCACTTCTAGATGATCTAGGCTTTCCTGGATATTTACTAGAAGAAATAGCATCTGTTTCTTTTAATATATTTTTATAATTTTCAAGATCATCTTCATTGTATATATCTTTATCAGGACTAGATTTTGTTAACAATTCCCAAAGACCATTAGTTCCAATATATTTTTTATTATCAATAGTTATATCATTATTACTAATTAATATTGGTTTTTTTCCTATATACAATTTTCCATCTTTTGAGTGTATACCAAATGTAAAATCTGCTGCCTTTTTATTACTATATGCTGACTTTAAATAATTTGTTGCTATAGTTCCTAATGAAACTATTTTACTTTCAGGTACATCCATTATTGCAGGATAATTTGATAGTGTTATAGCTAAATCAGCTTTATTTTCTAATTTAGCTAGGTTTTCTTTTATTCCAGATTGACTATCGATAATAGGTTTATATAAATTACTCAAGTCATACTGTAAGTCATTATATCCAAGCTTTTCATTTACTGCATCTTGATAAATACCTTTTTTCAATCTTTCGAGCTCTTTAAAAGCTTCATTTCTTTTTTTCGGATCTACAATATCTAAAAACGACATTTTTATATACATAACATTTTATTTTAATTTATTTTAACGTATTATCATGTTTTACTTGAACATAATATATGTTTTACTTGAACATAATACATGTTTTACTTGAACATAATATATGTTTTACTTGAACATATTTTATGATTTAATTAATATTTATTTTGTTAATATTTTGATTTTTATTAAACCTATTCTCTAACAATTCCATCGCCTCTTTCATAGCTTTCTCTTTACCTTGGTTGAATATTGATTGTTTAGTTTGTTCATCAATTTCATTTTTAGATTTTGTTCTAATTTGTTCAATCATAGCTTGAAACTTTTCATATTCTGAAAGTATCATTGTAAATTCTACATCATCGATATTACCATCTTTTAAAGCTTTAGAAATATGGTCGCTTATAGTATTTAATTTCGCGTCAGCTAATACTTTAATCTTTTCATGCTTTTCTGATTTTATATTTAATTTTTTAATTACTTGAGATCCTATTAATGACATTAAACCAATACCTAATGCTGTACCTTCACAAGCAATAGCTACTGGTGTTCCAACTATTGTTGTTAAAAAACCAATACCAACAGCTCCAAGTGTCATAGTAGTTGCAAGTAATGAATTATCAACAACTGAAATTATTCTAACAGCTCTATGATATTTTTTACTTAACATAGCTCTTCTACTTCTTTCACATTCTATTTTACCTTGAATTTCACTTATCTTATCTAATCTATATCGCTGATCAGATAGTGGTGGTGCAGTTGGATCAACTCTAAACTGGTTAAGATCTGGATAAATACTTTTACATTCTTCATTTTTACATTCTTTATAGTCCCTATTATATTCCATTCTATTTTAAAAAGAAAAACATTCATTTTAAGTTATTTTAATAAATCTCTTTTATTTACCAAAATTAAATATAGATTTAACAGAGTCTTTATCACTTTGTGATTTATCACCGTCTTTATCTTTGTCAGATTTAGCGAAGCCAGGATCACTTTGTGATCTAGTATTATCTTTATCACATATTTTATCAGTAATTAATTCTCCTATACTTGATAATATAGATTTAACAGAGTCTTTATCACTTTGTGGTTCTTCTTTTGGTTTTATATTTTTAGGTCCTGAAAGTACCTTTGCTCCGCTAGATATATAACTGATTATATTTATAATTCCATTATCAGATAAAATATATAATAAAAAATCTCCTTTTTTAATATTTATATCTTTTTTATCATTATTATATAAAGTTATTATAATATCATTAGTAGACTCTGCTACTACTGAATTTAGTAAGTTTAAATATGGCTTATATTTTTCTGCAAGTGCAAGTGATACATACACTTCATCTATATTAACTCCACACTTTAAAGAAATGTTATTATATGAATTTGATTTTACTGTAAAATCTTGCTGCGCAAATACTCTATATTTTTTATTATTAACAAAAGATGGAGTATGATCTAAATTACGATTATATATTAATCCTATTTTTTTTAATTTACTATTTTCAATATTCAGAAACATTTTATTCATTTTATAAAGATGTTTATTTATTTATATCATTTCACAACATAATAATATAAAAAATTAAAATGAGTTAAATAATTTTCTTTTGTATATAAAAAAAGATGTCTTATGTGAGTATTGAAAATTTTGATGAAGCAAATTTATATGTAAAAGAAATAATTAAATTTAATAAACCTGTTCCATATCAAAAAGTAGTTATTGGCTATAACTATTCAGATTTTTCAGATGCTTTAAGAGTAAAAACCCCAAAATCGTTTTCATATGGAGTTAATGAAAATATAGATTTAAAAACAAAAAAACTTACAGGATATTCAATTCCTTTTGTATGTGAAAATGATATATTTATCACAATTATTGAATCTATTGAAAAGTTTTGTAGAGATAAAGTTACTGAAAATGAATCAAAGTTAAAAAAAGGTGGTATGAAAAGTCTTAATATTCACAATTTAAACATTTTAAAGTATAGAAATGATAATCCTAAGGCACCTCCAGTTATATATGCAAAAATACCAACAGATTATAAAAGTAAAAAGATGGATCAAGTATTCAGGAAAAAAAATGATGGTGATATTTTAGGAGAAAGTCTTATTAAAAAAAGATGTGACGTTGTTGGATGCTTAGCAATTGAAGGTGTATATATCGGATCGATGATTCAATCTATTCAAGTAAAATTATTAGATGCAGTTGTATATGAAAAAGAGTATAAGATAGAAAGACTTTATATTAAAGACATTGATTTAGAAAGTGAAGATGAAGAGTAAAATATTTTTTAAAAAAATGATTTATATAATTTAAGTATTAATTATAAATATATAAAGAATGGATATTGAAGTACATAACAATAAATCAAATATCACTACAATTCAATTTGATCCTATTATTGAACTTGATAAAACAAAAAATACGAAATGGCATTTATAAGATTAGAAACTATTCACTACAGCGTTTCATCTCAAAATAAGTGTTTACATATATTAAATAATATCGTAGATGGAAAAAATATAAATGGTAAGAAAACTACTGTAATGCATACATTCTTACCAATGACTCGTCCTTCAGGTATGAGTCTTGTTGAAGAACCAAGTTTTAAAAGTTATTTTCCATTAAGAACAAACACACTTTCAAAAATGACAGTTGAAATAGTGGATGATGATCGTTATGCTATAGATATGAGTAAAGAAAGATTAATAATACAATTTCATCTAAGAGAAGTAAAGCAGTAAAGTTATTCATTATAATGAATTAGCGAAGCAAGAATCACATAGTGATTTAAAAAAATAATACATATATAAAAATGGATATATGTATTGGAGGAAATACTTCAACAATAAGAAGAAAGTTTTTACCAGCTATTCCACTTGATGGAAAAAAAGAATATGAAATGGCATTAATAAGCTTAGAAACATATAATATACTTAATAATATTACTGCAAACAACAATAAATTTACTTATACTATTTATGATCCAAAGACTAAAGAAACATCAACAGCTAATCGTAATATTCCAGAAGGTGTCTATGAACTTTCATCGATCAATGACTGGTTGCAAAAAGAATTAGTTGCTTCTCATTTTCCTTTGAATTCAATTACTTTTGTAGGAAGTACAATAACATTTAAAGTTACAATGGGTATTGAAACAAATTTTGCAGTTGATTTTACAATTGAAAATTCAATCAGAAATCTTTTAGGTTTTGAAAGTAAAATATATACTGCAGGTGTTTATGAATCTGTAAAAGTATTAGATATAAATCATATTAATACTATACATGTAAAAAATAGTATTATATCAGGATCTTATTTAGATAATTCACCTAGCAATATTATTTATACGTTTTACCCCTCTGTGGCTCCTGGAGCTAAACTTGTAGAAAAACCCAATGTTCCCATTTACTTACCTATATCTCTAAGAGGAGATATTCGTGATATGGAAACTTCGTTAATTGATCAAGATGAAAATCCAATTGATGTGCAAGGAGAAAGAATAACAATGAAATTTCATATAAGAGAACGAACTTCTAAATGCGAGCAAGAATCTATTTTAAAAGAGCAAGTATCACTTCTAAAAGAATTGATAAACATTTTAAAATATAAAAAATAGATTTAGATATCTTAAGATAACAAGATTTATGTAGATTCAAAGGAATTAAAATAAATTAAAAAAATTGTGCATATATAAAAAATGACAGATTATAAAAATATTAAATTTAAAATTTCAGATTATCAAAAGAAGAAAATCAAGAAAGAACTTGAGAATGATTCAAAAAAAATTACTATAAAATTAACTTTTAAAAATCTAAGTGATAAAAATGCTAAAGATGTAGTAGCTCTAACACACAAACAATTAGAGAAAGTAATTAATGCATTTAAAAATAAAAAAGGTATAACAATTGAATTAAATGAAGAAAATCTAATGCATAATTCTAAAGTGGAAGGTGGATTTCTACCTTTACTTTTAAGTTTTTTAGCAAGTGCTGCTCCAGTAATTGCTAAAACTACTGCAACAGCATTATTAGCTGGAACAGCTGCAGCTGCTGGAAATGCTATAGTTAATAAAATTGCTGGAAAAGGTGTTTTGTATATTAAAGATAATAAAAGATCTATTAAAGCTAGAAAAGTAGGAAAAGGATTACTAATAGATGAATGGAAAAAAGGAAGGTATTTAGGAAATGGGTATTACTACTATTATGGAAAAGGAACTGGAAACGATAAACAATATAAAAAAGTAGGAAAAGGTTTAATATTAGGTGAAAATTCACCATTTAAAAATATCCCATTATTAGGTTGGATTCTTTAGTTAAATATATATTTATTAAAATATATATTTCATTTAGCATAGGTTCTGAAAGAACCAAGACTTCGTTGGATCCTTTCAGGATCTACCATTTAATACAGATAAAGGAAAATAAAAACGATCAAAACCATTTCTATATTTTCCATTTTTCACATCTGATGATAAATCAATAACAATAAATTTATGTGGTTTTGACCAAACTATTTTACAAAAATTTTTAAACTCTTCTTTTGACATATCATTTGAAACATGGTCATTATAAATATGATTTACATTTTTGGAATCTTGTTTAAACAAGCATATAAAATTTGCATTTTCTCTTATTGTTTTCCTTGGTAGCATAAAATAATTTTGCGCTAAATAAAAACAATCTACATTACTATGCCTTCCTCTTATATAGTATTTTTCACACTTGTTTTGCTTTGTTAATTGTAAATCATCGAATATCATTAAATTATTTTTAGTAAGATCAAGATCTTCAGGTTCTGGTACATCATCTGCTGTTTCATAAAACTGACACTCCATATCTATTTTATTTTTTAAATTTTTTGAATGAACTTCAATTACAAGATCAGGGCTTATTTCCATCTTATCTATTTTATCTTGTAACTTAAATATTTTAAGAATATCTTCTTTTGGTACTTTTTTTTCAAAAGAACTTTTTAATATTTTGTATTCAGGTTGAAAAAGAGATTTTCCAAAAACTTGTAAATTATTATAGTCTAACCAATCAGGTCTTATAAGTAAATTCAATAATAAATTTGTTTTTCCACAACCAGACTTCCCAACTATAAGTCCTCTTATACTTCTTGGTAATAAATCATTATTATGACGATTATTTTTATTTACATTATATGATAAATCTAATACTTCCATTTTCTTATATAAATAATTTTTTTAAATTAAATAAAAATAAAGTAATAAAAAATGTATTGCGTTAAATGTAAAAACAAAACAGATACACTCAACTTACAACATGTTGTAAGTAAAAACAATAGAAATATGCTTCGTGGAAATTGTGCACTATGTGGAACAACAAAAACTCAATTTACAAAAGGAACTAAAGGTGGTGATTTAGTGGAATCTATTAATAATTTTACAAAGAATAAAAAATTACCTTTTCAAAAGTTTAAAGGTGAAATGCATTTACCAGGTATGAACTTTGCAGGACCTGGCACTAATTTAGATGAAAGATTAACTTCTACTGAAATGCCTAAAGAATGGAGCATGCCTGTAGATAAAGTTGATAAAGCAGCTTATATTCATGATCTTGCTTATAAGCATTATCCAGACAAAGAGCATAGAAATTTAGCTGATAAAATGATGCTTGAACAAATGGATGCTATACCTAATCCTACACCTCGTGAAAAATTGGAAAGAAAGATTATAAAACCTATCATATCTGCTAAAGTAAGGTTTGGTATGGGAAATAAAGAACCAATGAGTATTAAAGAATTATGTCAAAAAAACTACCAGCGCACAGGAAAAAAGCAAACGACCTGAAATGGACTGATGAACTTGCAAATGAACTTCATAAACCTGTTATAAAACATTTTAGAAAAAGAAAAGTGATTGTAAATGGAATTGATGAAATATGGGCTGCTGATTTAGTTGACATGCAAGCTTATTCTAAATTTAATAATGGTATAAAATACTTATTAATGGTAATTGATATATTTTCAAAGTATGGATGGATAATTCCACTGAAAAGTAAAACTGGAATCGAAGTTGCTATTGCATTGAATAAAATCTTTAAAATTAGGAAATGCGATAAATTATGGGTTGATAAAGGTTTGGAATTTTATAACAAACATGTTAAAGCATTAGGTGTGCAGCTCTATTCAACTGAAAATGAAGAAAAAAGTTGCGTTGTTGAACGATGGAATAGAACAATGAAAGAAAAAATGTTCAAATACTTTTCTGCTAATTCTACGAGAAAATACATCGATGTTTTAAATGAAATGGTAAATCAATACAACAACACAAAGCATTCTTCAATTAAAATGACTCCAGCTGAAGCAAGCGATAAAAAGAATGAGAACATTGTTTGGCTGAATCTAAATGGTAAAGTGATATCTAATCCTATCAAACCCAAGTTTTCAATAGGTGATAAAGTGAGAATAATTAAAAAGAAAGGAGCGTTTGAAAAAGGATATACACCAAGATGGACTGAAGAAGTATTCACAGTATCACAAGTTCAGTACACAGATCCACCTACTTATAAAATAACTGATTATAATAATGAAGAAATACAAGGTACTTTTTATGAACAAGAACTTCAAAAAACAAGTCAAGAGATATTTAGAATTGAAAAGGTTATTCGTAAACAAGGAAATAAATCATTTGTAAAGTGGTATGGGTATCCTGATACTTTTAACTCATGGGTTGATAATAAAGAATTGAATAATCTCTGAAAGAGATCAATGCTACGCTAAATCTATAAAAAAATTTCTAAATAATTATCTTGCATATATAAAAAATGCAAAACTCTAATGTAAATGTGAATATATGCGTATCAGCTACTTCTGGTAATGCTAATACAAATACTACTGTAACAGCTTCTTCATATTCTACAGCATCTACAAGCAAATAAACAAATCGACGCATGCGCACTGAGCAGAGCATAAAACCAATCTGAAAATCACGTGACGTTACGCAATAGAAACGAAATTGATACTAATTTTTTAGCGTAGCATTGATCACGAAGCGACCTAAAAATTTATTTCTTAGTTATAATATTTATACACACTATGAATGATAATGAATCATATATTTTAATTAAATATATGATTGAAAATATAGTTGAAAATGAAAATGGCCCAGAACTCTCCTTTTCTAACTACTAATGAGCAAATATCGTCATTTTCTAACTACTATTATCTACTTAGACATTTTGAACTCATACCATGAATGGTTGCGACTTCTTTAAGAGAGCACTCGGTTAAGAAAAGTCAAGAAACTACTTAAAAAGTGTATCTTACAAAATTCAGGGTTAACTATGCGCACTATTCATTAGAGTATTAATATTTAGTATATTAATATTCATTAGAGTATTAATAGTTATAGTTTGCAATTGAAACATTAAATCACGTAAACAAAGATCATTACCACGTTGTTGCATTTTAAAATTTAGTGCAGCAAGTGGATCATAAATATATAGTTGAGAATATATTGGTGGAATATCTTGATCTGGCCCAAGAATACCTACATGATGAAAAATCTGGCCACATATTTTAAAACATGGAAGCCCATGATTCATTGGTTGAACTACATTTGCTGTAAAAGAAGCAAAAGAAAGGCAGGCATTATAATTTCGAATATGTTTTAAAAAATTAGCAATAGCATTACGATCTACATAACTCCCTGTAAACAAATCCTGTAAAGCTTGTGTAATTGGTGAAACAAATCCTGTAAAGCTTGTGTAATTGGTGAAAGAAAAAAAAATGGCTATAACTTTATTAGAAATACAAGAAATGTTTATCCTACACAAGAAAGAAATACAATTATCATTTAAAGAACAAGAAAAGGTATTTGCTGGTTTACTTAGCGATAACTTAAAAATACTGAATGCACGCTTGGATAATTTTGAAAAAAAATTATCGGATTACGATAAAAAAATTCTCTTGTTGGAAAACGATGTAGAAGACTTAAAAGAAAGTTTAAACTTTTATGAAAATTTAATAGACCAAAAGATAAAAATTGAAACCCCGAATATTATTAATATTTTAAACGAAAAATGTAGAATCTCCGAAGACAAGTCGAGGAGAAATAACTTAAGGATAGTTGGAATTCCTGAAAATGCAAATGAAAGCTGGGATGAAACAGAAGAAAAGGTTCAAAATTTATTATGCAATAAATTAGAAGTTAAAGAAATTGAAATTGAAAGGGCGCATCGAGTTGGCCCTAAAAAAGAAGCTTAATCTCGAACCATTATATTAAAGTTATTGAGATTCAAAGACAAATCAAACATCCTAAAAGAAACACGAACTAAAAGGACTAAGCATCTACGTAAATGAAGATTTCTCGCAAGAGACGGCAAGCCTTCGTAAGAAGTTATTTACAGAAGCGAAAAAAAGAAAATCAAAAGGAGAAAACGTTATTGTCAGGTATGATAAACTTATTATATTAAAAATAAGACGAAATGATACTGCTAGAAAACAATTTTAATCTTAATCTTGCATATTTTGATAATCACAATGGCTAACAAATTAAATGCGACAAATTTTTTTGAAATTTGACATTAATCCAGATGTAAACTTTTTTGAGGACGTCATAATCAACTCAAACTATTTTGATATTGAGGAAGTTTCTAATCTCATGAATGCGTCACAATCTTTATTTTCAACATTAACTTTAAACATACGTAGTATGAGTAAAAACTTTGAAAATTTTAAATCAATGCTAAAAAATATAAATTTTGAGTTTATGGTAATATGCTAAATCGAAACATGGTGCAAAAGTGAAAAAAATAACTTTCAAATTCCAGGTTATAAAGCTATTCACCAAATTCGAGGTGGTGGCGTTGGTGGCGGTGTATGCATTTTTATTCACGAGTCAATCGATTATCTGAAAATAGAAATTCTTAGCATTCAAAATGCGGATTATGAATCTTTAACTATTAAATTACTAAACCACGATAAAAAAAACGTATTAGTAACTGTTTTGTATAGACCACCAAGTGGAAATAAAAAATCTTTTCAAAAACACTTAAAATGGTATTTAAAAAAAGTAAAAAATAAACAAATTTAC